CTGGTTAGTTGTTTATTTAGTTGAACACGGTGTTGAACGGACTGTTGGAAAAATATGCGTTGTTCAAAATGGTATGTCTGAATAAACAGGATTCAGCTGGGTTTCTTGTTAAAACTTTATTTTTGATCTTCTGACTCCAGTCAGGTTCATTCAGCTCTCAGCAGCACAGGCCTCAGCTTACAACCTTGGGCTGAATCAAAACAAACACTGGAGCTCTGCTCTGAGCAGACACTCTGCAAAAACACTGACAACTTCTTTCTACTATAATAATGAATTCAGTTTATAATGTACATCCCTTCCTGGTTACACCCCAGAGGTGTTACCTTTTACGTCAGACGTCAGAACGTCACTCAGTTTTGTTTAGTTTAAGAGAAAGAACACATAACACAAACCAACTCTTTGTCAGCTTCAACCTTACAGACTGAAATGATCAGAAAGTATAAAATACAAAACTGAATCTAATATTCAATTAATCAGTTACAAAATTTCTTCAGGACGTTAAAAAAATTAATAAAAATGAAATTAAAAACAATAAACCATACGTTATCCAATTTTTCAACTCTCCTTTCCTCCTGCGTTACAGCAGGCGCTGTCATCTCCACGTACAGACCCCCACCCCACCCCCACACGCAGGTACGAGTGGTAGTTTACGGATTTTTTGCAAAAAAATATAGATTTTTGAGGCTCATTAGACAGGTAAACGTCCAAAGGGGTTGACACATATGAACAGCTTCCCAGCTGGTGAGGGTGCGCGCACCTGGCGCAAGAATCTATCCAAAGCACAGCTGCTGCGCTACGGCCACAACTCAACTCAGCATCAGCCAGAAAGCTACAAACAGAAAAATTAATTATTCTTACCGTACAGTGAGCCACCATTTGCATCCAATTTTGCTCCCTCTCTTCAGCCTTTTTTTTATGTCGCAAGTAATGTCGCACATTCAACCATAAACAGTCAATGTAAAGTACCTCATGAATGTTAAGATGTATTTAAATCAGTCAGCTGATCAATGMCAACAAAAGTGATTGGTTCAGACATGCTCCGTCGTGAGTCTGGAGGTTGACAGGTGCTGACTGACAGCTGCTCACGTGAACGGATTGTCTGTAATTGACACAGATTTTCACTCATTTTGTTAAGAAAGCTGATGATAAAGTTGAATAAAAATCTAAGTCTGATGAAGGTAAATTAAATCTCTGACAGTGATCATTACACAGTGTGGCTCTAATTCCTCACTTCACCATCTGTGTCGCAGTTTCACATCTCCAGAATGAGCGTRCGCATGGGTCAGAGCTGGCTGAGGCACCGCACATTTTCACATCAAGTTTGGATTTTATAAATCACAACCTTGGTGTAAAAAGTGGCGTACGCAAGTTTTATAAATCCGACCCCAGGCTTGGATGGCAGCATGTTGTTCCAAAACCTGGATGTAGCTTTCAGCATTAATGGTTCTTCACAGATGTGACAGATATCTATGCTATGGGCACTAATACACCCCCATACCATCAGAGATGCTGGATTTTGAACTTTGCACTGATAACAATCCACAGTCCTTTTCCTGTTTGTCTCAGAGGACACCACATCCATGATTTCCAACAACAAACAGAAATATAGACTCATCAGACCACAGGACACTTGTCCACTTTGAGTCAGTCCATCTCAGAGGAGCCGGTGGTGTTTCTGGTTGTTGTTGATATCTGGCTTTGTCTTTGCATGATAGAGCTTTAACTTGTAGCTGTAGAGATGAACTGTGTTCACTGACAATAGTTTAATGAAGTCTTCCTGAGCCCATGAGCTTATATCTGTTACAGAATGATGTGGGGTTTAATGCAGTGCTGCCTGAGGGGTCAAAGGTCAGGGGTGTTCAATGTTGGTTTTCAGCCTTGCTGCTTAMTTTCAGAGATTTGTCCAGATTCTCTGAATCTTTTATAATATTATTATGGTCYGTAGATGATGAAATCACTAAATTTATTGTAATTGTACATTGAGAAATGTTGTTCCTAAACTGTTGTACAATTTGTTCACACAGTTGTTCACAAAGAGGTGAACCTCGCCCCATTCCTGTTTGTGACAGACTGAGCCTCTTTRTACTCAGTCATGACCCTCACCTGTTTCTAATGAACCTGCTCACCTGTGGAATAATTCAAACAGGTGTTCTGTGAGCATTCCTCAGCATTCCCAGTCTTTTGTCCCAGCTTTTTTAGAACATGTTGCAGCGTCAAATTCAAGATGAGTGAATAATTGCAAATAAACAATAAAGTTTATCTGTATGAACATTAAATATCTTGTCTCTGTAGAGTATTCAACTGAACATAGGTTAAAAAGGATATGCTAATCATTGTATTCTGTTTTTATGTATATTTTACACAATGTCCCGTCTTCATTGGATTTGGTGTTGCAGATGAGCCGCAGCTCATTCACAGCTCCTGGTTTTATTTTGTTAAATTCTGGATTATCTAGTTAAACCTTATTGTTGCATCCAACTGTTTTAATAATAGAATGATTTAAATGTTCATTGAAAGAAATTTAGAGGAATGTGTTTTTATTTTTGTTTTGTTTTTTCTTTGGGTTAATATCAGGAGTTGTTAGGATGAGCAGAAAATACTGAAAAATGAAAGTGTCAGTTTTGACTGGTGTTGGGATTAATTAACAGTGATTAATTAACAGTGATTAATTAACAGTAAACATTATTACTTGTATTAAACTGTCAGTGATCGGCAGATCTTTAACTGATCTTGTTGTTGTTGTTGCAGCAAAGCTCGTCACAGTGAGGTCTTGTCCAACCCAGCCTATCCCTACTATCATGACAGGATGCTTCACTTCTACCGCTGGACCTCCCCGCCGGGTGTGATGAAGATCATGTCAATAATCATCATCATCATGTGCGTGGCTATATTTGCCTGCGTGGCCTCCACTCTGGCCTGGGACTATGATGCGAGCATGATGGGAGGAGGATTAATTCCAGGTCTTGGATCCTCATACGGCACCTCTTACGGTTCATCATACGGAGCATTCGGAGGCGCTTCCAACAGCAATTATGGTAGCTCCTTTGGTGGTGTCCCCTATGGCAGTGGCCTGGGTGGTTCCTATGGTTATGGTGGTTACACACAGATTGACCAAGTCAGTGGAAAAGGYTTCATCATCGCCATTGCTGCACTGACTTTTATTGGCGTGCTGGTCATTTTCGTCCTGGTGGTTTCGAGGCAGAGTACCGCTCGTTCCGTGAAGTTCTACCTGGCTGCCACCATCATCTGCGCCATCCTGGCCTTCCTGATGCTCATCGCCACCATTGTGTATCTCGTGGCCGTGAACCCAATGGCACAAACCTCAGGATCTATGATGTACAACCAAATAATACAGCTGTGTGCGCAGTACCAAAACCAGCCCCAGGCCCAGGGGATCTTCATCAACCAGTACCTCTACCATTACTGTGTGGTGGAGCCCCAAGAGGTAGGACCACACTGACGTCTGTGTTTGTCTCTGTGAGGAACAGACTGAATGCTTTAATGAACTGGGAGGTGGGCGGTCCTTCTTCGGTCAGCTCCTCTCCTATTGGTCAACAGACAGGAAGGAGCAGGATCCATCTGCAGATCTACTGTGCATGACTGTGCTGCCTCACTTTAGCTTAGTTTAGTTTAAAACCAAGGGAAGCATTAAACCACTTTATCTGTGTCTTTGTTTTAAGCTAAACTTTAAGCTAAACTGAGGCAGTGCAGGCATGCACAGTGGATCTGCACATGGATCCTGCTCCTTCCTGTCTGTTGAAAACTAGGGGAGGAGCTGACCCAGGAAGGACCACCCACCTTATTTACATAATGAGGCAGGAATGCATAAGGCAATGTAAAAGCAGGAAACAGAAAAAGCAACACAGAAATAAAGTTGAATAAAAATCTAAGTCTGATTCTGAAGGTAAATTAAATATCTGACAGTGATCATTACACAGTGTGGCTCTAATTCCTCACTTCACCATCTGTGTCGCAGTTTCACATCTCCAAAATGAGCGTACACATGAGTCAGAGCTGGCTGAGGCACCACACATTTTCACGTCAAGTTTGGATTTTATAAATCACAACCTTGGCGTGAAAAGTGGTGTACGCAAGTTTCTGGGCTCAAATTGTGCGTACGCCAGTTTTATAAMTCCGACCCCAGAACTTTATAGGAACAATGAAGAATCACTTTGTGCCTCAAATACAAACACTGGTTTCTTTTTATCCTAACATTGTCTCCATTCATGTTTAGTTTTCATTTAAAGTTATTACCTGAGCAAACATGAGAACATGGCAGGCACCACCTGAGTGTGACTTTAGACTCAACTCCTCATTAAGACATGTAGTCTTTAAAACCAAATGTTCCACTGATGAACCATAATACTTTCTGTTACTCACTTGTAAAAAATCTGTATTATTTCTACATCTTGAAGTCAACCTGGTCCAAGTTTTCTGCCACAGCTTACTGGGCTTAAAAACACAAGAACAGGTGTAACTGGGCCAGCGTTACAGGTGCTGAGCTACCAGGAGGTGTGGTGGTAGCTGAGAGTGGTTTCAACACAGAACATTTGATGCCACACAAACACCATGTAATCACCATGCAAACCATTCACTTCTCTTATTTTCATAAATACTTGATTCAAATGACTCGTTTTCAAGTCATCAACTGTTAGGAGTTTAAATCTGTTTTTGAACTGACCTCTCTGTGATAAAAAAGATTTTATTCTAAGATGAAAAAATCTCTGAATGCTCTGTTTAAAAACTTTTTAAAAATGATCCTTTGTTGAGTTTGCAGCAGAAGAAATCAAACGCTATTTCAATCAAAAACATTTCATCAGGTCAATCAAAGTTACATTTAACACAGGATCTATTGACCTGGTGAGTTTCTGCTTGAATTTCTTTGCAGGATGTCAGAATAGCCTCTCAGAGCTGCTGTTAGGATCTCAGTAAGTGTTGAGGTCAGGGAAGGATGGGGGGTGGAGGGGTCCACACCATGAGTTGCTCTCTTTATGCTTGTAGCAGCCAATGATGCAGAGGTATTCCTCACAGCATGTAGATGATTTTATTACAAAAAGCAAGGTTCTTCTTGTTGTACCATGGAAGAACATGATCAGTCAAAGTCCTTCAGGGACATTACAGTGCCTGTGACATGAATATCCTTCAAATCAAAGAAAACATCTTTTATATTTAAGAAACGTGACATAATACACATGATTTCATCCATTTTGTCACATAACTGGTGAATTTTCTTTTAAACTTGGTTCAGCCAAAGTGAAACAGAAAGTGACATCAAAAGGGAACTCTTTAACAAAAAAACTCTCTAGTCTTTGTTTATTGAAACCAAGCAGGTTCTATAGAACAGTTGGAGTGCACAGAAACCACGTGACTGTGTGATCAACTGGTGAAGCTAACGGCTAACGCTAAACGGTCAAGACTCTGGATTTCCCATCACTGTACATGTTGACAACAGAGCAGAAAAAAGGACAGATGATGTAGAAAACATAAAAACTATTAATATTAACAAGATTATTAATAATATAGTTTATACAATCTGTTTAATGTTTTAAATAATGTCAGAAAAGCTGTTTGTGTTATGGATTTATTAACAGAAGATAAAC